TATTATCCCTTCAGTTGTTGGGAGGCTGGTTTCCTCTCACACCCAACCCCACTGCCATCTCGTCAATCCCAACTCAGAGTGACCCTATGAGGCAGAACAGAATCACCCTCTCATTTCCAAGGCTGTGCATTGGAAACTGACAGATGAATCTTTCTCCCAAAGAGCAGCTAGTGGGGCCCACTGCTAATCTTTTGGTTTGCAGCCAAGCACTTTAGCCACTGCTCCAGTAGGAGGTCCCTGAACTAAATATAAACAATATTAGTTTAGAATTTAACTAATTAAAATCTTTATGATGTCCCTCTGGCTAGAAAACAACCAGTTTCCCTCCCTCCCTGTTCCAGCCATCAGAAGACCATCAAAAGAGTCTCATACAATTAATATTTTAAATCAGACCATCTCAAATGTGCCCTTCAAATTTGGTTAAAAAAATTAAAAAAATATATAGAGAGAGCTATTTTTGCGTGATGTAGCAATGAAGAGAGGTTAACTTTCATTTACATAGATTATGATTTTTAAATTGAATTATATTGTGTCGGCATATGTCTGTAATATTTACCTATAGCTCTGCTTTCTCTACACCCCCAGCAGTTTATCTTTCTTTAGTCCTTTAAAAGAGTTATTTGTAAATAGCTGCTACCCTGGGACTGGAGTCTAGATTTGCTCTCACTGTCTCTGTAGCATTTGCCTTCTATTTTAGGATACTTAAGAAATGATTGGGTTGGTTTTCTAAAAATAAAGTACATGATCTATACTTTTTGGGGAGCCAGCTTGTCCTTCAGTGATATTTTACAATTGTATAGCTTAAAACAGTTCTGTTTGGCTTTTCAATAGAGGTGATGGCTAATCACACTATACAACAAAATTTATTTACCTATGGGAAAAGAATAATAATAATAAGGCTAGTGCTTATAGAGTGCTAGGGGCATTGTGCTAAGTGCTTTATATGTATTAATTAATTTAATCTTCACAACATCCCTAGGAAATAAGTATCTATATGGGCCCCACTTTATAGAGAAGGAATCACAATACTTTAATAACAATCTCAATTCAGCAGTGGGAAAGTAAATCTGGGCGGCAGGGTTGATCAGCACGAGGCTAGGAAGTCAGCCAGCAAAAGAGAGAAACGGTCAGAAGAGAAGTAGAAGCAAAAGAGGTTTCCTAAAACTTACTCTGTTCTCCAAGGAGAAGAATTGCAAGTGACAATAACAAAACTTGGACAATTCTTTTAAACCTTCGGTCAGAGGTGAACAGCTATAGGGCACCTAGAGTGATAGGCCAACAAAGCCATAGTCTTTTAGTTTTTGTGAAGAGCAAAATCTGGACTTTTTATATACGTTTTATATATTTAAAATGCTGCACCGGAAGAGTTGGGAGTTTGAGTCTACCTAGAGGTGCCTCCAAAAAAAAAAAAAAAATCTCGCCGTCTGCTTCTGAACAATGAGCCATCGCGAACTGAGCAGAGTTCTTCTCTGACAACATGCAGTTGCCGTGAGATGGAATGGACTGCACAGTAACTGTTTTTTTAATCTTCAAAAGAAGAGAGAAGTTCAGGAACAGTTCACCCAGTTTGAAAAGACTCAAACTGTTTAATTGCTAATTTTTCCTTTTGCTGTTAATTACCTTCACAATGCCTATGAGACTAAACTCTTTTTAGGATAGCTGTATTTTCAGGTACTAGCGAAGAATATTGAAAGTACCATCTATTGCCAAAAGCACAAACAAATCTGTCTTGGAGAAGTAAAGCCAAAATTCTCCCTAGAGGCCAGGACGGTGCGACTTTGTCTCATGTACTTTGGACATGTTGGCAGGAGAGACTGGTCCCTGGAGAAGGACCTCGTGCTTGGTAAAGCAGCCGGGCAGGACCAAGAGATGTTTCCTTCCTTCTGCTGTACATCGGGTTGCTGTGCGTCAGAACCCACTCGGTGGCACCTGACAACAACAACAAAGAGAAAATCAAGGGTAGATCTGACAATATAGCCACCTGTTAATCTGGACTTTTTGTATTTGTAGATATTTTGGTGGACTATTTTATGTGTACAGGAGCCCTACCCTTTATAGGGTCTTCATGGAGCCCTGATGGTGTGGTGGTTAGGATATGGCCTGTAGTCTGCGTGGTTGGCAGTTCAAAACCACCAGTAGCTCCTACTTTCTATTCCCATGAACAGTTCCGGTCACGGAAACCCACAGTGGGTCGATGCGAGTCAGCATTGACTCGATGGCAGGGAGGCAGATCACTAAGTTCAAATTGATTTGGTGACCGTGGGTGAATTTTGGATTCTGTGTATGAAGTCCCAGTGGTGTAATAGGTGAAATATCGTGCTGCTAATCTCAAGGGTGGCACTTCAAACTGTCTGCTGCTCCTGAGAAAGCCTAGGGAGTAATTTTACTGTGTTCTTTAGCGTTGCGGGGAGAAAGACCGGGTTTTGTACTCCTATAACGAGTTACAGTCTCAGAAACTCACAGGGCAGTTCAACCCTGTCCTATAGGGTCTCTATGAGTTAGAATCAATTGATAGCAATGAGTTTAGCTTGGGATAGAGTTGCTATGCGTCAGAATGGACTGTGCATATGTGTAACGAATCCTGGTGGTGCAGTGGCTAGGCCCTTTGCTGTTAACAGGAAGGTTGGAAGCTCCCCGCCCCCCCTTCTCCCAACCTTGCACCTTAACCCCAGTAGCTCCTAGGGAGAAAGATGTGGCTGCCTGTCAGTTTCTATAGATTCTCAGCCTGGGAAACCCTCTGAGGCAGCCCACCCTGTCCTATAGGATCACTATGCGTCTGAATCCACTTGAAGGCAGTTTGGTTTTACCGACTGTGTATAATATGCTCTGTAATGATTTATTTAATGCGATATTTTAAGGGGTGAATAATTAACCTAACTGAAAGTGATTAAATCATTGCTCCAAAGTTGCAGTTGATTAAATATTTAAAAACTATATATGATGAAGAATCAAATGAAAAGTGTTCGTCACTTTTTAATATTTATTTCAGTTTCCTGCCTATTCCTTTTCTGCTATCCTTTTTAAGTAAGGGGTTGCATTGCATCATGTACCTTACTTCTAAATGTTAGGAATAATACTTGCCTGTTTTTACCATCTCATTTCCTAAGGTAGAAACTTTAAATAATATCCTATTTCTTTGTTTGCTTTTAAAATTATTTGTTAGATATACTATAAAGAATTTAAACCTTTAAATATTGTTTTTTAACTATAGAAAAACTGGAGAAACTAAGCAAAACTGGGAGAAAAATAACTGGATTTGTCAATAGCTTGGATGTTGTTAAGAAAAAGATGTCAAAGTACTGATTGTCCTGATGGCACAGTGGTAAGCCAGAGGTCGGCAGTTCAAAACTCACACAGGGCAGTTCGATCCTGTGGCAGCGGGTTGGAGTTGACTTGATGGTAGTGTTTTGTTTTCCTTCATAAAGATTTACAGTTTCAGAACCCCATAGGAACAGTTCTACTCTGTCCTGTAGGTCACTATGAGTCAGAATCAACTTGCTTGGAGCGAGTTTGGGTTTGAGAGGGCAGAAAGGTTTATAAGCCCCTGATAAGTACATGGACAAGGGAACTGGTTCTACCTTTCCACCAAGATACATGTTCCTTTTCCTGAATATATCATTAATTTGACTCATCAATATTTGATTGACAAGTAAAATTAAATATGGTAAGAGCTCCCCCTCTCCCAACAAACACATGATAATCTGTAGTAAACAGCCTTTTAAAAATGTGATTGCAATCTTTTTCATGCTCTTCCAGTTAAAAAGAAAAAATTTAAACATGGCAAGGCTGTGACATGACAAAGGGTCACAGACACTGTAGGTACAACCAGGCTTCCTAATTATGAAACTAGAGCAATATTTTAAGAGTCATTAGATTACTAAATCTGCCGATCTGTTCATAACACCGTTTTCCCAATTCATAAAAATCGTCCCAGTTAAACTTTGTGTATGTAAGCATTTAATCTTTTTTTCCTGGATATTGTTTAAAAACATTTATCGGTGTTAATCAGCTCCGTGGCCTTTTTCCCCCCCACCGGTCCTAAAGAATAAACGAGTAAGTGGCACTGGGCTGAAACAACTTAAAAGAAGCAGCGCGCTTAGATGTTCATATTTGAAAACAATAAAGCAGCTTTGAAAGTAGAAAATTTATCTAGGATTTTGTCATCAACTGCTGTAAGGCAATGCTGTTCGAAAAAAAATTTTTTTTGAGCCAGCGCTATATACCTATATATTAAAACATATTTTAAAGGGTAAGCAGCCTTCTTTTAGAATCCTTTCATTGCCACTGCCCCCACCCCACCCCCACCCCTTCCAAATGGCTTAAGTCGCATAGCTGAAAGGATTTTGCTCATTTTTTCCAAAACATTTCACATCACATCTGAGTAGTGGCCAACTATGGAAAGTTTCAAGCAAACGTTAACATTCAGGCGAGAGGCTCTTTTGGGGGCAGCCTTCGCGGCCCTCGGAGGCGCTGCCCCACGCCCTGTCCCGGTAGTGGGGGGCCCAGGTGAAGGCTTGGACCAGCCTCGCCCCGGTTGTCCGGAGAGACGCCTCCCCCGGCGGCCAGTGCTGCGGAGCGCCGGCGGCTCGGAGGACAGAGGCTCTCGTCCATCACCCTCGCCCTCGCCCCCTTCTCTTTGAGGCCCCAGAAACCAGCGAGAGGCCTCCCGGTCCCCAGCTCCCAGCAGGACAGCCTCGGGGGCTCGCGGGGAGCTCCAGAAGGGGCTACTCCAGAGGGCCGCTAGGCTGCCCAGTCACACACGTCAGTTTGACCTCTTTCCCCGCCCCCTGCCCGACCCTCCCCACCCCGGGCGCCGAGAGAAAGTTGACTGCTCCAACCGCCAATCAAAAGAGAGGTCGAGAGCGTGAACCACTAAGAGCGCGCGAAGGGGGCAGGCCGCTGGCTTTGTCCCGCCCCCGGGTGGGTGAGCGCGGAATGTCTCCAGCCCTCCCCTGCGCTTCAGCCTCAGTGCGGAGCCCTCGGCGCGAAGAGGAAGAGCGCGGCGGCGGCGGGCGGCTTCGGGAGCAGCAGGAACGGCAGCCAGCGCCTCCTCAGCTACGTCGCTGCCTTTCTTGCCGCCTCTGGGCAATCCTGTCCGCGAGGAGAGCGGCTGCCCGCGCCCGGAGCATCCTCCTCAGTCGAGCAGGCGTTGACGGACCAGCGGCATGATGCGGCTACGAGGCTCGGGGATGCTGCGGGACCTGCTCCTGCGGTCGCCCGCCGTCGCCGGCGCGGCGCTGAGGCGGGCGCAGCCCCTCGCCACCCTGTGCCGGCGCC